TACAAATTTTAAGAACGAATAAATTTTTACTGAAAAGTTTTATATGAGCAATGCTTAGGTGCGTCATAATACCCCCCCCTCCCTTAATAGGTGCTTGAATTGTTTAAAGGGAGTTAGAAATGGGTATTCTATTTTGTATTATACTAGTACACTACATATCAGTTTCTAGTGAGAAATCGCTTGGTGTTTACTTTGTGATCTTATTTGTGTTATTCCATGAGTACTATGGCTTTTTGACAAGGTATTTCAACCGGTCTATAACAACCCTAGCGTCGTCCAGAAAAAATGAATTAATGGTGTAACTTAGGTAGAAATTTAAACATTTAAAATTTCATTATATGATGCATAGCAAAACAATATCCTTTTGGTCAAACGCCTTTTAGTGATATATCTAGGTGCATTTTTTCAGCCTCACGAATACTAATAACTTTAATAAATTTCTAACACTAACAGTATACTGGCACATAATTATTGCACCAGGCTTTATAAAAGGTTTGCTTACATTACTAGATATTCATCATGATGTTCGGAACTATATTTCATAATATTTTTATGTACGTACCAGAACTATGAAAATTTGGCCGACGTTATTCACATGATCAAAAATTACAAGTAATTTTGCAGATTTGATTAAATTTTGATCTGATGCAAATTTTAATATGATGCGGGACATATATTTTTTAGTTTTTGGTAAACATTTGTTACCACAAAGTTTTCTAATTACCGTATTTACCCAACATGTAGACCCCGTGCAATGTACCCTGTAACGATTTTGACAGCCAATTTTTGATTTATACCAGGGTACTAAGGGCAATACCCGGGTACTATATTGGGTAAATACGGTAGTTCTGATCTACAAATGTTCTATCTACTAAATCGAATTATCAGTTAAATTGCATGAATCGAAACGCAACCTGAGATACGTAATAGTTCATGTCTTTTAATTTAATCTATTTCCGCACCTTTGGCTACACGACCAGTCGTACCGATGCTTTTCGAATTTGCAATTGGCGTACAACATATATGTATGGTATCATTCTAATATCACCAATTGTATCATTTTATTTTCAAAGATATCGGAGGTTATTTTGCCGATTCGCGTACTTTTATTTTCGTATATCCACTTCTATAGTATTATTCAAATTCCAAGAACTGTTTTATGCTTTTTAAATTTATTGTGGGAATTACGAAATTTATGTAGTTTACATACGCGTTAAATCGCTATGATGTATGTATGTCATGTGCTCAAGGGGTAGTAAAGGTCCTTTAATCTTGGTTTCACTAGTGCTCGCCTTATGATATTATGCTATACTTTTTCATTCTAACCTATCCACCTGAATTCTTTTGCTAAGAGTTACTGCTCCAAAACTGTTGTAATATAACTCGAGAATCATTTAATAGGAAGGTTCACAGATGCTTAACAATGCAAAGACTTGTAACTTAAACTAAGAGTCATGATTCCAAGGCTATGATGGTACAATTCGAGGACGATTTTATAGAAGGCTCTACACAGCACAACAGTACAAGCGTGATTTTAAATTTCGAAACAGGAAAATAATATAAAAAGTATAGCAATACAAATGTAGATGTTAGTAAGATTTAGTTCAAATTCAGAGTAGTCTACAGTCACTAACGATACCACTATTGTTAGTTCTAAGTGCAGAAATAAAAGAATAATGAACGTAACAGTAAAATGTAGATCATGAGATGAACTATATAATAATAGAATATTATTATTCCAAAGAATGTGTAAAAAATGAACCATATTCCCATATTTTATTCCCATATATTAGTAATGTTAATATGAATGATTGAGCGATAATAATTTACAGCTAATATACTTTGTGTAGGAGTATATTATATATATCGGAACTAGAATTTCACAAAGATGCTTCTAAAGCACAAAACTTTATATAGCTTTTCGAGAAAATATCTTTAAATTGTATATGATTTTCTACGAGCTAGTTACATTTAAATTTTACGTAAATACAGATAAAATTATAAACCTATCTGAAACAAAGTATATATATATTTATTTAAATGAAATACTTTAGATCCTAACTAAAGGAAACTAACAAATAAACGATAAAGGTAGGAATGAATAGCATAATTATTCTTCTAGGTTAATTTTGTCAACATTATATTCTAATTGAATTAGGATGTCATTTTTCATTGATTCGATAATACTCGTGACCCTAAGAAACGCTAGATCTTCCTCTGGTTCTTGTTGGTCTTTTTGCAAGATAATGGAAAGAGATGAATCAGTAAGATTGGTTTTAAGAGAATCCTAAAAAATGTAATATATAATATATTTATTATTTAAATAATTAAATTATTTCAAAAACCAAAAAAAAAAAAAAACAATGAAAATTAAACTAATCCCAGTAATCATACCAATGTTTTATCAATTTGTCTCTTTGGCGAAGTAACTTTTTCAAATGTAGCCTCCATCCTAATAAAGAGCATAGATATTTTATTAATTATTGAAATTATTGAGTGCAGCAAAACGTATTAACATATATACGTATTTCAAACAAAAACTTACTTGTTAAGTTCTTCAATTAATTCACGTTCTAAATTTGATTGCCATTTATATTCTTGCCAAAGTGTTTGATTTCCTTCCTTTAGCAGAGAATTTTGCATTTGAAGCTCTATAACCTAATTTGTAAAAATAAGGACGTAAAAAAAAAAAAAAAAAATCGGTTAAAAAAAAATATATGTATATAATATATATATATGTATATATGTATATATATATATATATATGTATTTTATTTTAATTTAATATATATACTTGTGTTATCATTTCAACTGTAATGGGATGTGATAAATCGACTTTCGACAATAAAGTTTCAAGGAATTCTTTATCATTAATATCACTATCTACATCTTTCTCTTCATCACGAAATTTCTCAGAATATTCTTTTTCATCACCAAATTTATCATTATTATCTTTCCATTCGTATTTTTCATTGTTTCCATATTTAATATCTTTTTGTTCACGAGATCGCCCACGAGCAAATGTCAAATATCTAGTTTCAATATCATCTCGTTCTCTATGAGATAGTGATTTATTGATTTGAGGCATAGATTTTTTCTTAACAACGGATGATATTGGTTTATTCTTTGTTAATAAAGGTGTTGTTTTCTTAATCACAAGTGGCTCTGTCGACTTTTTTAAAGTTTTCGATGATTTCTTTTTAGTCTCAATAGGTGATGATTTCTTTTTAATTTCAAGAGCTGACGGATTTTTTTTAATTTCAAGAGGTGACGGATTTTTTTTAATTTCAAGAGGTGACGGATTCTTTTTAATTTCAATAGGAGATGATTTCTTTTTAATTTCAAGAGGTAACGGATTCTTTTTAATTTCAATAGGAGATGATTTCTTTTTAATTTCAATAAGAGATGATTTCTTTTTAATTTCAAGAGGTGACGGATTCTTTTTAATTTCAATAGGAGATGATTTCTTTTTAATTTCGAGAGGTGACGGATACTTTTTAATTTCAATAGGAGATGATTTCTTTTTAATTTCAATAGGAGATGATTTCTTTTTAATTTCAAGAGGTGACGGTTTCTTTTTAATTTCAATAGATGATTTCTTTTTAATTTCAACAAATGATAATTTTTTTTTAATTTCTAGAAGTGGAGGTTTCTTTTTAATTTCTAAGGGAGGAAATGTTTTTTTAGTTTCTAAGGGAGAAGTTGCTTTTTTAGTTTCAAGAGGTAGTTGTTTCTTTTTAATTTCAATAGGAGATAACTTGTTTTTAGTAACAACTGATGATTTATTTTCATTATTACTAACAATATTTGATAATTTATTATTATTTGTAGATAATTTTGAAATTTTAGACACCGTTGGTTTCGGAGGTTCTTGAGAAGACAGAGAAAATTTTCGCGTTAATTGAGTTTCATTATCAATTTTATTATTGTGAGTAGTGGACAGTTGCGCTGTTGGTTTGGTCTGAGGAATCATTGAGGTGGATAAAGATCGAATTGTACGTGTTTTCGAACATTTTTTTAAAGGGAGGATACTAGAATTACGTTTTTCTTGAGCCATTGCAAAATTAATTTCGAATGTAAAAAAAGTCTAGTATTACTTTTTATTCGTCCAAATCATCTATAATTTATACAAGAAAAAAAAAATTTTTTTCAATCATAGATTTGATGCTTTGTTTAATACTCTTTTTTGTTTTCTCCTTCGTTTCATTTTACACATTATATCGAAGCTGGAAATAAACAAAAAGATTTATCAATAATTAACCAAAATCATAATAATTCGTAATTGTATCGGCAAATGGATTAAACATAATCGTCAAGCGTACTGTACGTGCAAATTTTTGCAAGTGATAAAAACGACAATGGTTAATTATTACTTGACAAAGATAACAGATAATGTCGCATACCACATACGTGCGTAGCTACAAAGTCCCGTGATAAAAATCCAATTTTATCAAAAATCTATTTTCACTTTATTGTGATCCGATAACGATAAATAAATAAATATATACTATATATACCATATACAGTACAATACAATATTTAATATAAAGTAATCTATATTTACTGTAGATAAAGAATTAGAAGTGCAAAAAATTTCCTTAACAGTATAACATATTCCTTATCTCGTTTATTACATTATCATATTTATTTGTCTAAATAATTTTCATCTAATAATACTGTAGTATCACTTTATGTATATATACACATTTAAACTATAAAAACAAAAGTGAGCTACTTTTGGAATATGGCTAGCGCATACAGCAGGTCGCACGCGTGTATGCTCGCTTACAGGAATGCATTTTCGAATCTTCTAATTTTGAATTCATTTTTTCTTTGCATAAATATTGTAAACAAACATTAATTTGAAAAATTTTCAACGTGAAATTAAGAAAAGGCGAGACTTTTAAAATTTTAAAAATCTTTTTTGAGTTCTTGAAGCATAATTTCAAAAATCCGACTTACTCGTATGATCGAGAAGAATCTAGACCTAAATTAAAATTAAAACAATAAAGACTGTCTATGAATATTACAATAAACTATATGCTGTATAAATGATAAGCATAAATCAAGTATGATAGAACTAACATCGTATTATCGAATATACTAAGGTAAAACTAATATAAATTTTTGACCCAGGTTAAGGTCACTCAAACTATTATTATCGATAACAGTAGTATACAATCATGTGACTATTACTATAACTGATAACTTGTCGAGTGACTCTAAACCAGAACAAAAATAGAATATAGAAAAATTGATGGATAAATTTGTAAAACACTATAAACAGGTTAAATTTTTGACATCCTCTCTAAATATACTTACAGTATGTAAAGTTGTTACTATGGTTCTAAAAAGACGCATTCAGAGATTTTATGGTAATTAGTTTGTGATCACAATAAATCGTACTTAACTAGCAATTCGCAAATATTTGTTGTAATAAATATAAAATCCTTAATACAGTAATGTATAGTATGTTATTTTTGAACTATAAAAATTGCTAATTAATAAACAATCTTTTAAAAAAAAACAAATACATCAAAATACATAATATAATTTAAAATATACAGTATTTTAGTAATAAAAAAAAAAAAAAAACATAACAATTCCAAACAATTTAATAATTTTAATTTGAAAATTTGAAATTGCAGTTATCTTTATCGAAAAACTTTCTAAGCTTCAATCAATCAAAAAATCTAGAACACTAGTTTTAGATAACAAATAAAGTCGACAATTATTATTTCAATGAATCTCATTGATGTATTTATAAATAAATCTCTATCATCGATTTATTAACATTTATATTCAATAATATGAACTTAAAAACGAACGCATTGAAATTGACAGAAACAATTCTTATTAAGACACGTTTTATTTAAGAACATTAGGTTATTCATTTTTTTTTAATAACATAAAATTATTTATAACCCTTTTAACAATTAACAATTATATAAATATGGTCTAATTGATGATACTGTACAATTTCAATTTCAATCGTAAGGTTTCCATAAAGTTACAAATTTATACAAGATGACTATTTATTTCCTAAAATAATAATAATAATAAATATTATTGAATGCTACTCAGCCAATAAATTGTTTATCTGGCAGTGAATTTAATATGTCATTCTGGGCCCCAGAAGCTGGCATATTAAGCTTAATAGTCAGATAATGAAATTATTTTACAAATAATTTCCGTTATTGGCTGCTTCGCATCCAATAACTCTTTTTTTATAACACAAATTTTTGTGAACATGCGCATTTAACCACATGATACTTTTTTTTTTTTTAACTCTCGAAATTCCCCATTTGAAGGATATGATGCAGGATAAAAATGCTGATCTACTAAACGTAATTTCATAAACACAAGGTCGCGGTTCTTAAATTTAACAATTACTGAATCTTATTTCTTATTAGGATAAATGAGAAATTTTTTTTTTGTTCTAACACTAAAAAGTCAAAGAAAAAAAAAAGATTTTAGTTAGAATAAATTCAGAAATTGGTGTTACTCTTTAAGGATAAATAAACTTCAAAATAAAAACCGGTTTTTTGTTATTGAGTTACATTAGGATTTGTTTTTGTTATTGAGTTACATTAGGATTTGTTTTTATTATCATCATTTAGTGAAATCTGTAGATCAAGGAACCATTTCACCGTTTCAAATGTTTTTTTTTGTTATTCTACCCCTATAATACTCGTGTTAAACATTAAATTGATATCATGGCAAAAAGTATTATGGAAATATTAATGCGTACACATTTAAAAGACTTAAGTGGAATGACTAATAAAATTGATTTTATATAGTTAGTAATAATTGTCGCGGATTATGGTGAAATCGGATCATCGTGAAATATAGGGCCTTAATTTAAAAATATAAGCCCTCACAACCCTAACAAAACCTACTTATACTCTTTTATTATAAACGCTAACCCTAAATACTAGTCCGGATTCAAAAAAAAATATACCCCAAAAAATTTTAAAAATTGGAATTTCACGATGATCCGGATTTCACGATCATCCGCGACAATAATCCGCGACAATAATTAATCGCCCGTCATAAGTAACACACACCCTCGTTATAATAAAGTCTTAGAATAAGAAAAAAAAACTTACTATAGTTTATATGAGTATCTTTGTATTGAGTATCTATATAAAGTTGAAGTTTAATAATTTCAAAATTCTTCACTATGTTGAACTCACTATATTGAAATCATTACTATATTGAAATCCAATATATTAAAATCCTCAATATATTGAAATACTCAATATACTAAATTATATATTGAAATACTCAATATACTAAATTATATATTGAAATATTCAATATATTAAATTATATTCAATATACTAAATTATATATTGAAATACTCAATATATTGAAACACACGTTATATTGAAATTCTCAATGTTGAATATTCATTATGTTGAACATTCACTATAACGAGGGTTGTAATTAATGCACATATTCAAAATCTATTCAAAGAAAATAAATGAACAAAAGTTGTACAGTATACATGTACTATACTGTACTGTAACTGTACTGTACTGTACTGTACTGTGCTGGTTTTTTTTTTTTTTTTTGATACTAGTCTACATTAAGAATAAATTGAAAGATGCATGTAAAAATATATATAAATTGCATTCAAACAATAAAAGAACCGAGTCCTTTTGTTAAACATTTCTTTTGAGAATACGCCAATAGAAAAAAAAATGGGCACCAATAGATATTCGATTTATGTGATCATAAATGGAATGTACAAAAACCTGAATGGTTGAACAGAAAACGTAATAAAATGATGTCATTCATTACGTATCGCGCATCACGTACCACGGAAACACTCAGCGCGTATTATACGGGTGAAAATAACAAATTCTCCGTTGGAGAATGAATTATGTTAAATGAAAATAAAATTTACGCAGATAAAGTATGAAGAGAATAAATCAGGTAAAAAAAGATGGGTAACAAGGTAATAATAAGTAATAAGATAGAAAGGATATACCTGATGGCGTTCTTTTTGTAACAATGTTAAAGATAGTCAGGAGGTTCATCACGTATTCCTTACTTACAATTTGGGTAGAATACGCCGAAAAAAATATATGCATCATTAATTTTTCCATCCTTGTTCAAAAGATTCGAATTTCATATTACTATAATTATAAAATAGCGCGTAAAAAAATCAATTATAAAATTGAATAATATAAAAAAAAATTATGCATTAGATACATTACGTACAACATTCTCAAATGATATTGATAATGCTGATTATTAATTGATATAATTATATAATTGACGATTAAATAAAGAATAGACCATATTAAATCTAAATCAAGAACTTGTTCTATTTAATTGGCAATTTATTCCCCAACGTACTCTTGTTATACTTGGTCGTACTTGGTTAAACCTGGTTAGAGTTTGCATGTATGAGTCTCACACCAAACTATCAAAAGTTATCAAAAGTTATCAGAAAAACTAATCAAATTTATTAAATATATATATATATATATATCAAAACTATTAAAAATTATCTTTATAACGTTTTATTCTAAAACGGGATACCTGATGTATGAGTAATCATTAAGGATCTTTCATTCATTATGACAAAATATTTGTAAAGTTAGTAGATGAGGATGACCATCACAACAACGAAAGTATTCTATATATAGAAGTATATACTTATAATTATTATAATATTACGCCATAAAAGAACAAGATCATGAATTTTTTAACATTACAGCATTATGAATTTATTATGTATTGTGTCGAAATTTGTCACGTGGACTTGATAACATTGTTTCACATATTAGAATATCCCCTCTAAATAATTTGAAACATAGTAAGGATAGTTATGGTGAATAATGCTTATTTCTATTCCCATTGTTCAAAACACGCTTTCAACTCTTCCATTTACGCTAAAAATTAAGAACGGTAAGTCACGTGATGATGTTTCATTGTTTCCCTCGAAAGATTTTTAATAATGTATATTGAAAAAAAAGGGTTCATTGAATATTTATCACATGATGAATATTTGTTTATATCACATTTTGTCTCAAAATTTTAGTG